GGGTACCGCAAACTGATATTTCGAATCATCCGCCCCAAACGAGCCTCTACGACTGCCAGCAAGCGCCCACGACGGCCCCAAACGGCCACAAAGAGGACCGTAAGGTGCCCAGCAATGGTCCCCAAGAGGCCTCCGAGACGACCCCAAGACCCCCTAAGGGCCCTCCCGACAATCACAACGGCCCAAAAAGGGATGGCCCGTGGACTTCGTTTTTCCTCGGGGGATCGGCGGGGTGACGCAAGACTCTTGACTGGTAGGTACGGGGATCCGTGTCCGACTCGGGATGCCCAGACTCAATCATATAATCGGCCCCGACGTCAGCCTTTTCCAGATGGCATGGAAAAGGCATTTCCCAACACTAGATGTTCAATCCGCCAGCCGAAACGCCTCCTGTCGTTCCCACCGTTGCGTGCACCGTACTCCCAAGCGCTCCCCTGCAATGCCGATCTGCAGACCGTGCCATTCGACCCCGCCAGCTAGCTGGATTAGTGCATCCAGGAACACGCGCTGGCAAAAACATGGTGGACCAAATCTGAGTTTAAGAAATACTGTAATATGTCTTCTCGGGGGAGGCAGCACGAGCAAGATGACGACGAGGAGGGGCGTGAAACCACGAAGGGGAAAAAAGATGGGAGACGGAACGTGGGGGGAGGATTATACAAGAGCGCCCCTGGGTGCGCGACATCACCGAGCCACCCCTGGTGAGAGCCGAAACCAACAGCAGGCATAGCAGGGGCTCCCCTTTCACACTCGTGCGCGCTCTGAGCTCGCCGCGGGAGGCGGCAACGCTGGGCCTGGGTCGAGACTCCCTCCCCCAGAGCGAGGGTGTCCTGGCAACGCTTGGCGCGAAGTGGGATGGGTGGGTGTTGAGCAGGGACCGACCGTCCCGGCATTTCTATAGGCCTACCACGACATGTTCTTAGAACCCAAAGCTGTTCTTACAACAAAAACGATGTTCTTAGAACATAAGCCCTATGTGGTAAAACACGACAGCCCCAACCAGAAATGCTTTAAGACCAAATCGTGGAAACCACAAAAGGTTCTTATAACATTCTTTGGTCGGCCTATAGGCGAGCCAGGACGCTTCGCCACTGCTTGAGGGTGGGGAGGACGGCGACGAACTCTAGGAGGACACAGTGGATAGGGGCACGACCCGATGCCTCCGTGCGGCCGCGCCCGGCCCCGCGCGCCCGGGAGCGCGCCGCCGAGCTTTCGCGCGGGAGCGGCCCGATCCTGGAGGCCTGGAGGGCCCCCGACCCTCGCGCGGTGAGAAAGTCACGGTGGAAGGCCTCTGGCAGTCTCTCCGCCTTCAGGGGCCTTTGCCGGGCCTCGGGGCAGAGGCGGATGCTCAGAACGGGAAGCTGGCCCCCGGGGAGGGGGTCGAGACCTCCGGGGGGCGGGGTCCTTGTGACGAACAATTCACGAAATCGGGGGCGAGTCATACGCAGGTTGTGGTTTGCACACCACCACCCGTGCCTAGCAAGGGCCACCCTGGGCCCTGGCACCCCGCGCACGCTGTCCTGGCCGAGACCGGGGACATGCAAAAAGCGACGCTCACGTACACGGCGACCGGATCATGAGGATGCGCGGTAAGGATGCAAGGCCCTCGGACGCCCAAACTGAAGCCGAAATTGGAAGAGCCCCGCCCATGGCGAATGGCTGGGATGGGCAGAGAAGATTCTGGTCCCTTGGAAGGGCTGGGGTGGGCAGAGGAGCCAGGATGCAGAGGGCACCCTTGGAAAATTGACGCATCCGGCTGCTGCGGCTCGGCTGTAAACCGTCGGAGGTCCGCCGGCAATCCTAAGGTTCGCCTGGAGCCCGTCCGCCCCTCTACGCGTAGGTCGGGCATGTCGTCCTACGGCGGCGTTTGGAGGAAAAACAATCAGTGGCCAAGCATAGCCACACATGGTCAAAAGAGCACGAGCAATTGTCGCCATATTGTTTTTTCACTATGCCTGGTGGTCCTCTAGAGCGACACGCCCGACTTAACCCTGCCCCTGCTTCGGTCGGCGCTGCCCCTCGGCGCTGGCCCCCCCTACGCCTCCCTCGCCATTGCTCGGACGTCCACTCCCCGTGCATGTTTCGGTTTCGTGTTATCATTTTTGTCGCAAGATGATCCAAGATGCTCGGGGACCTTCTGATCCAGGTCAATCCAGACCTGGGTCAGTCAGGTCTTGCAGGATCCTGCAAGATCCTGCGCCCAAGCACGGGTCAATGCGAGGGATCCTGCAAGATCCTGCGCCCAAGCCTTGGCCAATGCGACCCTTTCCCTGCAGGATCCTGCAAGATCCAGCGTGCTGGCTGACCCCCGTTTGCATTGACCCCTGTCTCAAGGCTCCCGAGATGCTCCTCGATGGTCCACGCCCGGAATGAGGAGGAGGAGGAGCAGGAGGAGAAGGAGGAGCAGGAGGAGGAGGAGCAGGAGGAGGAGGAGGAGCAGAAGGAGCAGGAGCAGGAGGAGGAGGAGGAGGAGGAGGAGGAGGAGGAGGCAATGCACACG